GCCTAAGAATAGGGGACTCTGTAGTGTTATTGAATACTTATCCTTTTGAAAAGTGAAAACTCTTCACTTTGCTGTGGAGTTTTCATACACCTAAAAGTTTTCTAGATTATAATTTGGTCTTTCTGGCCATTGAAAGCAGCTGCTTTCTGAATAATGTACAAGCTAGAAGTCCCTTTAAGTCACTTAACAGATATTGCCATTTAAAGACAAAGACCGTGAAGGGTTTGATTGCAGACTTCAATTTCCTCATCTGACTACTTCTGTTCCAAGATCAGAATCTGTCTAATTAATTTTCTTTCCAGGCAAAGCTTATGGAAGACTATAGGAAATCATAGATGCCGTATGGTCTAGAAAGGAATGAACAAGATTTCAGGGTTTGGTAGATCTTTTTTCTTTGATTTTCTCAAATAGTATCATAATATTAAAGTCAGCACTAGTTCATAAAAGATGAAAACATGAGAATTCTTTTAATAAGCACCTGGCAGACAGCGTGCCTGAGAGTGAAAGTGACATGGGCCCAAGAGGACTGGCACCGAACCTTGTACTGAAGGAAGCAACAGTTGGGCACTTGGCACAATAAACGTGGTCATGCTGCAGTTTTAGCTCTTTGAGACCCTTGTGAAAATTCATAAAATATGACACCTGCTACATAATGAGTAGGGAGCTCTAGTGGTGTAGTGGTTAATGTGTTCATCTGCTAACCAGAAGGTCAGCAGTTCAAACCCGCTAGCCACTCAGCAGGAGAAAGATGAGACAGTCTGCTTCTGTGAAAATTATAGCCTTGGAAACCCTGTGAGACAGTCCTACTCTGTCCTACAGGGTCACTTTCAGTTGGAATCGACTCCTTGGTAGTGGGTATATTTTAAGTACCAGTATGGGGAAATATTACTCCTTTTCTGTTGATCTCATTTAAATAGGCCTAAAGAGCAATAATCATTATAGAGTAGAATTTGGGAAAGAGGTTTTGACTCCTCACCCAGTTTGGGCTCATTACTTGAGCATTAAAATAAAACTTTGTATCATTAATTTCACTGTAAGGCTTATTCATACATGGTAGAGTTTTATGGCAGTTAACAATTTAATGAGGAATCCTGTTTGTAAAGCACCTATGCAAAAGAGTCCATCCCACTTTACTGGCGACAACTGTATGCTTTTTCAGCTGTGAAGAGAGAGAAAAGAGTATTATTTCAAACCTCCTGATAAGGGAAACAGATATTGAGAAGTGAAGAAGTACAGATAGATCAACCAAGATCAAGTGTAAATCTTGCTTTTGCTAACTACATTTAGGCCTTCAGCTTTTTGCAGCCTTCAGACTTTAAGCTTATGGACCCCCTCAGTTTACCAACAACAATAACAATAATAAAACAAGAATAATACTGGGTAACATTTATTGAGCATACACTGTGTGCCAAGCACTGTTCGAAGCACGTCAAAAGCAGCAAACCCTTTAAAGTTCACAATAGCTGTATGGAGTGGATATTAGTATTAACCACAATAAATGAGGATACCATGTTACAAAAAGATTGTGACTTGCCTAAAGTCAGAGCAATTGATAGAAGCAGAATTCACACCCAGACCATGTGGCTCCAGATTTGATGTTCTTAATCATCATGCCATCCTCAGTTTAAAAAGCTCCACAAAAATAGATTTTTCTTTCTTTGCCTCAGTGATAAGGAGAATACCTCATATTTGCATAATGCTTAAATTTTCACCCAAGGGTTTTATACTTTTATGTGTTAGAAGATTGTTTTAGTTCTGTCTACTCTGTAGAATCAGACATATGATAGGAAATAATTTTTAAAATCTGACTAAGGGTCATTTTGGTATTAATTCTTTTTTGTCCAGTTTGGAGCCTAGAGACTTGCAAGGGCCACAAGTTGTGAATTAACACTGAAGTGTCAAATAAAAGTTTGTAATAAAATTATCAATCTAACATACAACAACATAATCATAGCATAATTAAGTGAATAGTCAATGAACAGATTCTTACCTTCAGAGAATCTAAAGGTAGCAGATCATTTTATTTCATATTTTATAAAAAATAAGCAGAAGATTTTAGAATTTATATCCTGAAGAATATAAACTCGCAGATATCTTTAAATTAGAAATTTAAAGTATTCCAAATTACTTCTAGAAAAAAGTATTTTGCTGCCCTCATAAAAGCTTAGAAAAGGGAATGCCCCACAAAAGTAGTTCTTTTATTGTTATTTATGAGAATATTGAAAAGGTAGCAACAGAAAGGAGATGTCCAATATAGACTTTTATTTAGGACCTTGTGTGGGTTCACTTACTCCTGTGTTTCCTGCAAAAATTTTCAGCTTCTCCTTCTCAAATAAATACACAAAAAGTCTTCCCTCAGAATCTAAGTCGATTGATAAAGGACTGAGCAACCTGTAAAGCTGCCGTAAAGGAAGGACAGCTGGCCGTGAGCTAGCTAAAAACAAAGAGAAACCCTGTGTAGAGTGTTGGGATGAGATGGACATTTTTGCTTTGTCTCCATCTAATGCCTCATCAAGTCAAAACCATGGCATCCTGCCCTTGAGTAAAGTAAAGGGAGAGCTTTACGTAGGCATGCAGATGCATCATCCATCAGGAAGACCAGCAAAGGTAAGTGGAGGGCAGGAAGTGTTAGAGAAAACCCTTTAAAACCAGTGCGAGTCACCCTGTCTAATCTGTGTATACGATATTCCTGAAACCGAGTACAGGAATCTTCTTGAGATGTGGGCCAGCATGGCTACACAACCCACCAAGAATGGTATGAGGATGAGGAAATGACCTCACAAAGCTGAACTTTCTTCAGCCAAAGATCATTCTCTATCCCCAAACTCAAAAAGGAGGCAATCTAAAAAGTCTATTAATCAGTCACTGAGTAGGACAATTCATTCTCTTGGCTGGAATAAAAAGAAAAGATGCTGATCCCTACTCTTGTATAGGGACAGATTTTCCAAAAGTACCTGTAGTATTTTATAGATGTCCTCAAGTGAATTGGCATCCTGATTCAGTAAGTTTTCAAAGCAACCAAAGCTCAGGGGGTTTGTTCACTCACCTCCATGCCACTGGGATTCTGACTGAGATGGTTATGGGTCTGTGGTCTGAAAGAGCACTGGAAATCCCTATTGTATGCTGTCTGCCATGGACCCTTAAGGATGCTGACTGACAGAGGTGTCTCCTTGTGGGCAGGGCTTTTGTTAAACTGGGTCCTACCCTTGTCCAAAATTAACACAACATTCATAGTGAGGATCGGGGGCCAGTTGTAAGGTTAAGCTATTAGGACAGCATGCTCCTGTCTTTCAGCAGTTTGATGAGATCAGGCTGGACAAATGGAAATATTCAGGATGGACTTTCAGATACCTAGGAGTGTAGGTAGAAACCACCCCTGTTCACCTTATCTACAGAAGGTGGTGAATGCTAAATACTCAAGCCTTCCATCCATGCATGTCTGACCTCAGGAGCAGGTTCTCTGGTTTTGGAAGAAAAAGCAAATATAAAGATCTGTGATTTATCATCAGAAGGGACAATGAGTGCCCCCGTCTGAGAGACTAGCTCCTGACTTCTTGTGTGGCTGTTGTCAGTCACTAGCTGTGTAACCTTGGACAAGTCACATAATCTCTTGGAAGCCCAGGTTACTTAGCTGTCAGGAGAAGAACTTTAACAGGTTGGTTACTGAGGTCAAGGTCAGAAATACGTCTTGAGATTCTTTAACTTAGGCACATTTTGTAAGACACAAGGAGGGCACAGAAGATATTCTTTGGTGTTCAAATGAATTAACCATTATGAATTCCTACACTTTCAGAAGAAATCAGCAGTGTGAGACTGATCTAAAACTACAAGGACAGTGTTCTCAGAGATATGGAGAGAGAGAAATGCCCTAGATTTGTGCTTTCCCATACAGTAGCCACTAGCTGCCTGTGGCTTTTTGAACTTAAGTTCCATTTAATTTTAAAATTCCAATCCTCAGTCACTTTGTACACAGTTCAAGAGCTCAGTAACTGTATGTGACTAGTGTCTACCGTATTGGGCAGCTCAGATGTAGAACATTGCCACCATTGCAGAATGCTCCATTGGTCAGCACTTCCTTAAACTTTTGCCAAACTGCAGATTCTTGTCCCTTAGGGCAGAGTGTAAATATTTGTGCTCCTAGGGTGACTGAATCTAGCTTTTGGGAGTAAAGGATGGATTAAGTCCCATATGACAAAGCAGTGTGAGAAGTCCTTCAGGCAAAGGTGGTTGGCTTTGAATAAAAGATCGGGAGAGACAGGGAGGAGGGGAAGTCAGAGTAAGGAATTAGGACACACCTGGATTGTTCCGTGTCTTGGGTCTTGACTAACTGGACCAGAACTTCCATTGGACTGAGGGGCCCCAGAGGAGAGTTTCTCAAAAAGATCATCACCCCATCGCACAACTAATCTTCAAAATTAGAAAGGATGAGAACAGCAGGGTTAGGCTTATCTTCAGGAAACCAGTGACCCTCTTATCACTCACTCGTGGGGAGAAGAGTAGTACTCATCCTTTACCCATGTTACAGAAGAGAAGGTTGACATTACCTAGGCAGTCAGTGGTGATGGTGGGAAATTATTGAGACTTTCTGGAAGTAGGTGAAGGGGTAACCGCTCTATCCTGACAGTCAACTCCTTAGGCAGTTATCTGTGCAATAAAAGTCAGCTAATGGGCAATCTATTTCCATAGTGATACTGCCTCGGAAACGCTAGGAGGGGTCGCTATGAGTCGGATCCAACTGGACGGCACATAACAACAACACAACAACAATGTTTTAAGACTCAGGCTTAGGTGTTAGTAAGCCAAGATCAGGGAAAAGGCTTTGCCACAGATTTTGCACATTCTATGGGCTCTGCCTTCCCTGTTGGCCCTGCTGGCTGGAGGACAATGCACACGGGGACAGGAAGAAATCAGAAGTGGGTGGCAAAAAGAGTGTAATTTTAGCTCTTGTCTGGAAGCCATCTGTGAATGAAGTCACCTTTCTCTTCTGGACTTACTTCCAGGTGCAGCCGCAGGGGACGACACTGAGGATGCGAGCACTGAGTTCACTGACAGTATTGAGGAGGAGGCTGCACACAACAGCCACCAGCAAGTAAGTCAGTGTCAGATCCTGGGGCTCGCAGGGCGGAAGATGCACAGCCCTTCTGGGGTCTGATGGTCTTCTGCAGCCCTTGTGGACCTAGAGTGAAAGATAAAAAACAAAAACCAAATTAACCACTTCCCAGTTTTTTCTCTTGACCTCCCTAAACTTCCCAGTGCCTTCTTAACCCCCTCCTTTTTCCATTTTCCTCTCTGATCCATCCTTTTCTCTTTATTCGGCTGTCTCTCTTACTGTTTGCCCCTGCCCTCTCTTACCCTCCTTATCCCCTATTTACCCTCTGTAACTATAGCATGAAAAGAATTTTTACTTACAACAAGACAATGGACACTTCCCCTCTTGGGTTTTTGTAATTGAAACTTACCACACAAGACAGGGAGTCATCAAAGGGCTGCCGGGGGAGATGGCAGGCCGAGGACCTGCTTGGGGAGAGAGCATTTTGATAAACTACAAGAAGATCTGATTCTTTACAGCACAGGACTCTTTTTCTCAGTGAAATCTCATAATACGAAAGAAAACTTTGTTGTGCAATCTGACAACTTATCTTGACAACTTGATCACCAGCAGATGGTGCTGCAAGAGCAAACCCCTGTCAAACCTCAGACCTTGGCACCCAAGTCTGAAACACTGTTCCCACCCATCATCGGTGAAAGTAACAAGCATGCTCTCAAGCCCATGACTGAATGTACTGGACCTCACAGCTTAAGCCACCGATAGTGAGCCCACAGCACTCACTGGAAATCCTGAGTGTCTCCATCTTTCCCAGTGACTTTTAGCAAGCACATCTTCTAGATGGACCATGCCTGGGAGTCTCTGAGTTGTTAAGGAGAAAGTGGATCACTGATATCTATCTTTCTGCAGAAGCAGTTGGGCCTTTCCAATGATAGCTTCCTTAAAAACTGTAGGGAAAACAAGGGGCTGCCTTTTCTTCTCCTGCATAAGAAAAGAAGACGACATCTAATAAACCAATGTGACAAGCCTGAGGGAACAGTCCCCAAATCTCACAGGGTTAGCACAGTCTTTGGCTCTTGAGGACATAACTAGTTGTCGGGGTTATCTCATATCCTTAGCAGAATCTCTTTACCTTCTACCAAGATTCCCTTTTTGTTGTAGCCATTAGGATCCTTCCCGTCTACCATGAGTTCCTCCTGCATGACCTCTGCTTCTCCTTTTGCTTGCACTGCTTCTGAGTCTTGCTAACTAACTCGTTAACTCTGTACACTGCTGTGTCTCTGGACAAATCTCTCCAAACTTCATTCCGTGACTTTATGGAGGACCTTGGGTGAGAGAGACCTGCAGGATGAATGAATGTCTACTCTAAGAGCTAGATTGGGATGTCAGCTGGTCATTGGCAGTTATTACTACTATGGGACAGGATAAACTTCCGAATAAATGATCAGGAGACACTAGTATGAGGAGAACCAGATTGTTAGCATGGTCTAACCTATTCCTGATGGTGTGAGTCCTTTGCTCTAATTCTAATTTGTAGGCAAATTGGGTCCTAAAGTCATTTCTTCTTCAACATTCTTTTCTATAGCCTAGCATGGAAAAAATTACTAGACCTCGTTTTGAGAAGGTCAGTCTAAACCTGGAATAAATGTTTACTTTGGGCACTTTTAGTTCCTTCAAAATGCCTGTCACATTACTTGGCATAGGAGATACTTAGTATATTTTGAGTTAACAAACATTTGGATCAGCCTTTGACTCATGATACACAAAGTGTGTGTATATATATATATATATATATATATATATATATATATATATATGCCTTTTGGATGAAGAATCTCTTGGGTAAGCAATCATTTTTACTTTCCATCACCTCTCCTTGAAAATCAACCTTTGGATAGAAGGAACCTTGGTGTGTGATATCAGTGTAAACCTACTTCAACTCTTTGGGAGTTTGAGAGTTTTGTTTACATGCCGCTGATTAAATAAAGATTCCTTTTTCATAACTCTTTCGTGTCTAGATTCTCAAAATTTTGTTTGCTTGTTTCCAGGGAAATGGTCCCTTAATATTAGGCCCTGAATGCCTCCTTGTCATGACCTTGGAAAAAGAACTCTATTCTTGACAAGTTCCTTATCCATCTCAAGCATATCCACATTACTGCTAACAAACACATTCAACTCTGCGTTTCTTACAAGGCAAGAACCACATTTTAGCCAAAATAAGTTGCTTCCTCCTCAGTTTTGCATTCACTAACCCCAGGAAGTCTCAGTCTGGTCTTGATAATGATTTCCCTCAGGAAATCTCCTGAATAATTCCATTCTCAAACAGATGTAAGATCAATAACAAATCCTAGGAAATTTCTGTGAAATAAATGAGTAATCAACCAAGTCCATTGCATTTCTCCATTTGATCTTTTGCAATGGAGGAAAATTAATCAAGAATTAAATACAAACGAGAAAAAAGTCAGTAGACTAAGTAGGGTGCACGTGAGAAAAGGTCATTTTTAATGTCCTGAGGGCAATCTGAGAACTGACTTATATTGTGAGAGATTTGAAGCAACAGTGCAAAAACAAAACCAAAAAAAAAAAAAAAACCAAAAAAAACTAAACTCACTGCTGTAGAGTGGGACCTGACTCATAGCGACCCCTCCTTGGGATTCCGGGGCAGTATCGCTACAGAAGTAGATTGCCCAACCTTCCTTCCAAGGAGTGCCTGGTGGGATTGAACTGCCTTAGGCACTACACCACCAGAGTTCCTAGAAACAAAACAATTGTATTCAAATAGTAGATCAGATCTGGACATAGACCCCTGTGGGGCAAATGGAAACCCAACAGACATGGAACATGAAACATGAGACATGGAACAGACTATGAAAAAAATAGAACAAGTGAAATGAGGGAGAGATAATTAACAATAGACCTAAAGGAGTCACATTACCATCACACACAGTGAATAACATGTTAAAAGACCCACTGCCACAGAGTCAATTCCCACTCAGTGAAGACCTGGGATTTTCTTTTAGGAAAGAAGAGATATACTTGCTTTTCATAGATGATAAAAAAAATTAATAAAAAGACTAGGTCCCGAGTTACTTTCCATGCATTTACATTTTAATTTTTTGGCTTTTTCACACTTTTTATATGTACCATTCAATGACATTATGTTCAACATGTTGGGCAGCCATCACCACTGTTTCCAGCTTTTTCCATCACCCTCAACAGAAGCTCAGTGCCCCTGAGTATTTTAATTTCTAAAGATTAGTTAGCCAAAATAAGCCCCCTTTGAGATGGAAAAATGAAAACACAAATCAGCCTGGGCATAAAACCCCAGATCTCTGTTTTCTTATTTTAATGTGGCAAAGTAGACGAGGTAGACCTTAAGGTTTCTTCTGGTATGAACATCTTATAGGTTTAAATAATTTTTTTTTTTTAAGATTAAGAAACTGGATATATTTAAACCAGTAGAACAAGATAACATATATCCAGGAGCTATTTTAGAAGTGGGTCTATAACCCACTGTGGTTGAGTTAATTCCAACTCATGACATCGCCATGTATTCAGACTTGAAATTGGTTATTATTATTGTTATTATTTTAAGGCTTAGAAAAGTATAAATGTTCCCAAGTTTAAAACTGATGTCAATGTTATTTTAATTAGTTGGAAAGATTTCATATAGAAGGGTAATACATAGTTTAAATGAGTAGTAGGGTTTACCCAGTCCCCTTTTATTTTGTCACAAATGCTTGGTGGCACATACTAAAGTGACCACCAGCCTGGGTAAGCCTGGCAGCAGAGCCAGAGAGACACATGTTCCCAAGAGCCTCCCAAATCTCAGGTTCACAAATGCAGGTGGGATTGGAGGAACTGAGCAACATGTCTGATGATGTTTTTCTCCCCTGCCATGTACCAGGGAGCTCTGGTAGCATAGTGCCTAAGGCACTTGACTGCTAACCAGAAGGCTGGTGGTTCAAACCCACCAGCCACTCCTCAGAAGGAAGATGGGGCAATCTACTTCCGTAGTGATACTGCCTCGGAAACCCAAGGAGGGGTCATTATGAGTTGGGTCTGACTCGACAGCACATAACAACAACAACATGTATGCTTATCTTTTTTCAACCTCAACCCTGTGCTTCTAGACACTATTCCACGTAAATGCCATGAATCAACCCTGTCACAAACTGGTAGCCCATATATTACCATGTTCTGTTATGAGAATCAAAAGCAAAGGTCGATGGCCTGGTGCTAGCCCAAGCAGCGCTATCAGTCAGTGATCCATATAAACTGCTCTGGGCCCTATTTTGTTCAATATGTTGGTGACCTGAATGTAGGTATAAAGGATTGAATTAATTTTAAAAATTATCCCTAATTACATGGCCACTACATAATTTATAGGCGCTTTGGTGGTGTAGTGCCTAAGGCATTTGACTGCTAACCAGAAGGCTGGAGGTTCAAATTCCTCAGAAGGAAGGTTGGGCAATCTACTTCTGTAGTAATACTGCCTCGGAAACCCAAAGAAGCATTGTTATGAGTTGGATATGACTTGGCGGCAGTGAGTTTTTGTTTTTGTTTACATAGTGTATGGAGGTGCACATCAAGTATGTTGATGACTTTGGTAATTGGGACCTAATCCTGTATAAGTAAAATTAAATTGATAAGTGACAAGTACAAGTCACAATATTTGTAGAGAAAAAGATGGCCCACAGATAGCAATGGGTAGAGGTGGAAAACTGTGAGATCTACATTGACCTGAAGTTAAATCTAAAATACTTCCACTGAGAAGAAAAAGAAAGCAACATGACATTGCAATGTATTAAGAATAATGTTGGACAGACAGGCAAGAAAGTCTTCTACTAAAATAATTACATATACGCTGTTTTTGTTAGTTGCTGTTGAGTCACCTGCAACTCATGGCAACCATTAGCCCAACATAATGAAATATTGCCCTGGCCTGCACCAACTTCATGATCCTTGATATGTTTGAATCCATTGTTGTGGCTTAGTGCCAAAGGCACTTGACTGCTAACCAGAAGGCTGGCAGTTAAATCCACCAGCCACTCCTTGGAAGGAAGATTGGGCAATCTACTTCCATAGAGATACTGCCTCGGAAACCCAAGAAGGGGTCACTATGAGTAGGGATTGACTCAATGTCAGTGAGTTTGGTTTGGTTTGTTTTAACTGAAGGAAAGCACTCAAAGTACGAGTACTACATTAGACTTTATTCTATTATGATCCATAGAGTTTTCATTGGCGAGTTTTTGGAAGTAGATCACTAGGCTTTTCCTAGCCTGTCTCAATCTGGAAGCTCCACTGAAATGTGTCCAATCTGCTTCATGGCCACCAGGAAACCAGTTTGTATCTGGAATATGGTGGCATAGCTTCCAGCATCACAGGAACATGTAAGCCACCACAGTACAGATGGGGTGCTGAAGTTATGCACTTAGATTATCCTACTCAGGTTTTGGTTTCTATACTTTTAAAAGCACGAAGAGGGAGAACAAAACTGGAGAGAAGTGAAAAGAGAAGAACAAGAAAAGCTATGAATTAAAAAAAATTCTCATTTGAGGAAAAATAAAGACCTGCTTTAATGGAAACATTAAAGAGTAACTTCAAAATTATCCTCAAGAGAAGGAGAGGTGTTGGGAAATTGTTTCTGCCTTGTTTTCTTCTTAGACTTTTAGAGTTTGGCTGTCAGCGTTGGCACAACGGTAATAACCAAAAAGTACAATTTGCCACTAGCTGTGCTCCCCTCACTTCAACTTCTCAGTAATTGTAGGGTGTGATTCTCCTGCTCTCAAGGGAATAAAACATGCTTTGTTTCACCTGTAGCTTCAACCATATTGTAATTCTGGATAGAGTGCCCTGAGTCCTCTCTCTTAGTCATCTCTTTTAGGAGCCTGGGCTACAGGAGACCTTAGGCTTTGAGTTCTGGTATGTTGGGCTGGGGTCTTAGCAGTCAAGGACTCAAGTGTCGTGGAGCTGATGGAGCTTCCTGACTTGTGAAGAGACTCTCAGGGAATTTGGGCAATCTATTTCCATAGTGATACTGCCTCGGAAACCCAAGGAGGGGTCTCTGTGAGTCAGATCTGACTCTCGACGGCAGTAAGTTTTTTTTTTTTTTTTTTAGGAAGAGAAGAATCACAATGCCCATATACCCCAGTCCTTTTTAAACTCCATTTGTTTCCATGTTTATTTTAAAAATCTTTTTTATTGAGATATAATTCGCATATCATAAATTTAACCATTCAAAATGGTTTTTAGTACGCTCACAAGGTTGTACGATCATTATCACCATCTAATTCCAGAACATTTTCATTACCTCAGAAGGAAGCCCTGTACCCATTAGAAGTCACTCCCCTATCCCACCCACTCCCTAACTCCAGGCAAACACAAATTTACTTTCTCTTTCTCTGGATTTGTCTGTTCCGGACATTTTTTATAAATCGGACCATACAACATGTGGCCTTCAGTGCCTGACTTCTTTCACTTAGCATAATGTTTTCAGGGTTCATCCATGTTGGAACATGTTTCAGTACTTCATTTCTTTGTATGAATGAATTAATAATATTCCTTATATGGATATGCCACATTTTGTTTATCCATTCATCATTTAGTATACATTTGTTTCCACTTTTTGGCTATTAAATTATACTGCTATGAACCTACATGTACAAGTTTTTGTGTGAACACATATGTGTTCAATTCTCTTAGTTATATACGTACTTTAGGTATGTTGTTGTTGTTGTTGTTGTTATGTGCCGTCGAGTCGGCCCCGACTCATAGCGACCCCTCCTTGGGTTTCCGAGGCAGTATCACTACGG